CTGGACTCTAGTCTGTCCGAGATTCCTTCGTCAATGTGACCGTTAGTATGGATATAAAGCATTACGAGACAAGAAGTTGTTCCACAGGTTGTCCTTTTCGCTCCAGCTATGTTGAAACCGCAGAAGATCTAACCCGCTTCGGGAAGACAGGAGCGTAGCAAACAAACATGTTGGGTTCTGTGGCGTACTAGACATCCGTTGGTTTCATTTTTAACGGTCCACTTACCGGGCAGTTGTGCCATCCCTGTAAGCAATTAAAACATCTATTTGGTCGACTCTTATAGCTTACGTGGCCTTTTTAGTCAGAAACCTTCCTTAACTTTACAGGCTTAGTTGCGCGAGACTGTAGGGTCCAGCCAAAATTGGGACACGTAGTGGATTTCTGTCAGGTACTTAGAATTCACTAGATTTTTAAGCTGTTGTTTTAAGTTTCCCACGACTAAATAGGCTAAATAGGGTCCAATCTATACAAACATTTCAAATCAACGGAAAGGAACATGGTACCTTACTAACCATTGTTTATCTAAATTATTCCATATTGGGGCCCGTAAAGAGGCTTAAACAATATTCATTCCGGGCGTTCGGGGACACTCCGTGTGTCCCTTAAAAACCCCCTCCTGATTAAATAAATTTTTGTCTGCTGTTACCAAGCCCCCAATTAAGAATAGTTTAGGGCCCTTTTCACATTCCTGACCTTTTTAAATTTATTTTCCTTACTTTTGTTAGGTCCAGAAGGCCCTGTGGTACGGTCCCTGTTGCTACCACTAGACTGGAAACAATGCTGGCAGATACAGCACTTGCTGTTCACCCCAGCGACACGCGATTTGCACATCTGATTGGACGGAGTGTCCTCCATCCCTTTTGTAGTTCGCGCCATATCCCAATCATCGCCGATGATGTGCACGTGGACCCCAACCAGGGCACTGGTACAAATTCTTTTCTTCCAGACTGGTTTCTCCTGTAGTTGTAGACACTAAAAATGTTTAAGTGTTCGCTAAAATGCTTAAATCCTGTCAAATATCCACTGCTAACAAAGTAAAATTTGGCCTCCGGAGCAAAAGCAACGTAGTATCGCTTCTGGAATAGTAAAATCACTCTAATTTTTGCTAAACAACAAACATTCTTTCGTTATTCCGTCTTTACAACTGGAGAAGCTCCCTAGACTCCCTAGAAGTTCATTTCATTACTAGAGGATATTTCTTGCTCGAAAGAAGTGTCCTGTTATACGACATGGAAAACGGCGGTTTATTACTGTGCCTGTTTAGTACATTTTGGTGAGAAGTACAGGCTGGCGTCATTGCCTTCGTGATAAAAATTAAATTGACACTTGTTTGAATTGTTGAACAAAAAGTTCGCGTAATTTCGTTTGGAGCGTATGTACCTAATTTGTTTTTTACGCTAGTGCAGGGTAATTCGTTGTAGTCGGGAGGTCAAGCACCTGTGGGTTGA